GGGAGAGTGTTGCATAGGAGGAATTTCTCTCACAATTCAAAATCAAAGACTCGACAAATGCCCAGAAACTGTTGCACCGTTGGGAAAACTTCTTGGGTCACTACCCGTGCGAGACGAGGTACGGAGACATTTACCGGTAATTACATAATGCAACTTTCATTTACTCTTTCAACGATCACCCTTTCCCCCTGAGTCTATCCCCCACGGTGTCCAAGTCCACTTGCTCCATTACTGTGATGTAAGGTCGAATGGCTGTTTTTTGGAGAACATCACGCTGATAAAAAAAAAACCAATTTGGATGCTTCATGTGACAAATAATCGCCTTCAGTCAATGGTGTAACGATTGGAAAGAGGTGCGTAGGGGTTCAAATCAAAACCCGATTCATTGAAGCAAGGGGGGAAAAATAAAAGGATGGAATTGAAACATAAAACAACAAATAAACAAAGATGATGAAAACCTTGGGAGAAAGTCTGCATTTGGTTCATTCATCAGAACAGAAAATTCTGAGCCGGACGTCAAGCTCTTCAGCGTTGGTACCTACGCTATATAACAATGCCGCCAGTATCATTATCTCGTATTCGATTCCACCCAGCCAACGACCGAGGCCCAACAACTCCCCCCCTAAAAATTTAAATGTAGGAAATTAAACGGAAGAGTCAATTGGAATCTCTTGGTTATCACTGTTCCATTTTAATTTTCTATCGATAATTCCCAGTCCAGATTGCGCTCGTCAAGCACTCTTTCATTTGGAATGAGTGAATAAGCGGTATGGTCTTTACAGGACCACATAAAACTTTCAAACTGACCAACAGCAAACAAACGGGACTCAAAATAAATTTCTCAACTGCAATGAAGAACATGCTCGGACTTCCGGACGATAGTGCCCATTAAATTCTTCACTAGAGAGCAGAATTTCATCTAAGTCGACAAGCCAAAAAAAAGAGCATATAGCGATATTTCGGAATTCTGTGGACACAAAATCAATAAATTTCTCCATGGTTCAGCGCAAGACAGCAAATGAATTGCGCTATTTATAGAGAGAGGTATTTTAGGATCATGTTAAATTTACAGGAGTCGTGTAAGAAAAAAAATTACGGAGATTCCCCACAGCTTCTAATGTTACAGGTTTGCTGTGTTCTGAATTGAAAAGGGAACGTCGTGCCTCTTCATGTCGATGATTTCTCGTTCCCTTATCTCTGGGTAACAGGAAAGATCCCGACCATCTTAATTGTGTGTAAAGACCAAAACGAAAGCTCTGATTACTATGTACATAATCTATTCAAGGTCTTGAATGAAGGCAGGGTAGAAATATATAGTCGCGAAGTCTTGAGGACAATAAGGCGGCTCTCCTAGGACTTTTATACGGACGGGAGGAGGGCTTAAGCGTCGGTATGAATGAATGAGAAAGGTCATCTATAATTCTAGAAGGCCAAAATTATGGAAAACGAACTGAGACATAATATAAACAAACCGCTCAAACTTACCGATTTGTATCAAAATGCACTAGACTCCATATTTAAATAAGCGATCCAACGGTGAACCACGGTTGTTGTTTGGCCAAAATCTATTCTGTTTTTAAGTTATTACATGCTTAGGGATACATTATGAAAACATAGCAAGATGCAAGGCAGAGTAACTCGCGGACTTCTAAGGAAACCATTTTAACAGACACGCGGTGACGGCTTCTGCGCAGTAAACCAAAATCGAACATAAAGCTTTCCTCTACGGAAATGTTCACCCGCGAAAAAAACTGTTTACAAACTGTGAAACAGAGAGGTACACCTGAGTGATTCTTCAAATTCGCCGCTCTGGAACGGCAGGTTCGGACCAATCAGCGGTCTTGTGGCGTAAGACGTCACAGACTGACTGGCATGACTGAGCGGTTTCCTCCTTGTGCCTTCAATTCCCCCACGAAGGGCCATTTTAAGCGTGGACAAAATCGGTCACTTCGCAAACCAGCAGGTTTATGCCCTGTGTTAAATGCATAATATCCTGCGGCACAACATGGCTATCTGTCAACGCTTTCCGTAAATTGGCCTTAACACGGCATTATGTCTGTTATAGCCATCGGTGTTTTCTTGTTCATAAGGAAGCATTAAATCTGTATAATTAGTTTCAACGCAATCAACCTCGAGCCCTGATGAACATATCTAAAAATTCATTTCAAAAAGAAAAAAATAAGGATGACATTGTTTACTTGCTCCGAATCAAAAAGGGGAAAAATACCTCTTTTGTGTCATCCTGGCATTGAGCAAGCAATACAATGACCTTTATCAGGCCTGAAAATAGAATTTGGGAAGTTTCGTTATGTTTGTTTTGGTTCAGTTTGGTGCAGTTTCAATGCTGCTTCGTGATCTCAGCGTATGAACTCAGCTCTTGAAAAGTTCTCAATTAGAAAGGATATTGATTTAATTATAGAATACAGAATGTGTCATATTCAATTACTTTGGAATACCAATCGGACAGCTTTGATGTGGAGCAACCGAGTGACATCTAAAACATGACTATACAAACATGTAATTATATATTACAACCTTACGGCGGAATCCACGAGGCGGAAAATACAGTCAAATGAGTATAGAGTATGCAAAATTAATGACCAGTTTATCTTTAGTTGGAGAATTGCAGATGCCATCAATAGAGGCCACCATGCCATACGTACAGATTTGAAAGATCAGATAGCTCTCCCAACGGTCGCTGCAAAAAAAGGGGGGGGCGACTCTGGGTTAAATGTGTTCACTGGAACCCGTGATGATTGATGTTTTCCAAGTGTTAAGCCAGGAGTGTATGAGAAATATGACCGGTAGCCCGTATACTTACCTCAATGTCTGACATTTCTGTTGATAGATGGTGTGCTGTTTTTAAGCGACGGAGTTAACAAGTGAAGCCTGGCTTGCATTTTGTCACGACCGTAATTTTCGTTGTTGGTGGTTCATTATTGTGTCAATTGATGAAGGAGTCAATTCAAGAAACCACTATGATGTTGTGACTGTTTCAAAACATTTTACTTTTGTCGCTGAGCAATTTATAAAAAAAATTGTTAAATTTCCAAGTAGGCCTTAATTTAACAAACTAACCTGGTGTCTTATTGTCTCTCTCTTAATGATTTAGTATGGATGTCTTATACAAAGTTACACTAACAAGGGCTGCTAAGCTGTAGAGTGTGTTAGCTCATTGGGGGTAATTTAAAAAAAAAAGATTCCCGTCGTAGGAAATGTGACTTTGGTTTCTAAAGACTGGTCGTTGCTAGGAGGTGCCTGCAAAACGCTTTGCAAAAGCCAATGAACTATAACTCCTTAGTGATACAACCCCAACTTTTCGAAAGTGGAATTTGTGCGCACCCATGGGGCACGAAAATCCATCTGTTGAGATCGACTTTCTATGAAACAAGTGATTGTTTGCCATGTTTTGAAACGCTTTGAAGACCTTCAAAGATTTTATGAGACTGTGGTCTTTAAGCAATCTTGAAGTAGGTGTAAAATCTATCATAATATTCTTAGCTATATCTTTAATCTACAAGCTAACACATGTCACACGGTCCTAGGCAGATCCAGAACTTGTTTTTTGGGAGCCCCCAAATAGGTTGATTTCGGTAAGTTACCTTTCACGGCCTTTATGGGGCCAAATTTTGAGGCTTCAGTTGGAAAGCATTTGGAAGGAAAAGAAAAGAAAGGAAGTGGTCCTAAATATGGCCTTACTGTGATTATTTTTTTTAAGAAGCTAAACAAATTGTTGCCCTCCCATCCGCCCTTGCACACGCTTACTTAATATATGTATATTTTTTCCTTGTCCACATAGCGGCCAGGAACTATGTGTTCGTGAGAGTTCCTGCGGTATACGTCCATATTTGTGAAACTCGCTGGAGACGAATTCCTGGGTTGGGATGGATGGCGATATTGTCATTCCAGAGTTTACCGGCGACCTCTAATAGCCAATACAAAAAAACAGCCCCATACCTAATACTGCCAGCCCAAATTGAATATCGAAGCTTAATTGCTTTTTATTGATCAAACAATTAGGGGCAGGGCAACGCGTCAATGCAAGCTGTATTTCACCAGGAAGTTTGTCCCGGCACCCGAAGTATTTGACCCATCGGATATTGTGTATCAAAGAGCGGTCTCGGCTCTTTATGTGAACAGATCATTTAATTTGATTTGCGGATTCCGCGTAAAAGCACAAGCCTGGAGTTGTAGAGAAAGTTGAATTGCTGTCGACTATGACTCATTGAACCCATTGTCATAGTTATTTAAGCAGTGTCATATAAAAAAGCAAGGACAAAATAACATGTCTATTCTTAAGCAATACTGTTTGACCAAAATACCATGATGTTTTAAAGATACACGAAACTCCTTGTTCGTATCAACGATCTGAGCAGTAATTATTTTACAAATGCGGATTCTTAAAAGAAACAAACTACCTGAATTCGTTTAATTGTTATGTCATGAAAAGGAATTTTCTGTGGTTATGATGTAATATTAGATAATTGAACAGTGCAATCAAAATTTTATTAATTGCACACATTGAGCCAACTGCAACTAAGATGCTCAAAGATACATATGCATAAACAGAGTAGAAATTAATAAGTTGACCTACATCCATGGGAACAGAACCTCAGACGACGACATTCGTAATACGGAGACCCAGGCAGTATTTCAGATAAGAAAGGGGAGCGTGTTTGCGTCAGACATCACGTGACTATACACCCGTCTGGAGCCATTCCGGGGCTTCTTGCTAAACCCCAAGCCTAGTTGTGTGTCTCCCTTTGTGTGTTACCAGGAGGCAGTGGGTCGTGTTCTTGGATGTACGTAACAGCCGGCTGTGAGATTTTTATTATACCGAGCGCAATCGTTGATGACTCCGCGGACCCCCTCGGGCATTTGGAAATGTAGAGGGATCGTATTGAAAACGCCTTCATTCAAAGAGAGGCGGTGCAGTTAATCAATTTGGTTATAATGCTATATCCTGACTTATACTTTTTTTCTGTCATTCCTTCTCGCAGGAAAAAAATGTATGGATTACAAGAAACCTGACTTGGATTACAAAGGATTAACACTAGCAATCATACTGCTAACTACCTAAGGGCCATCAACACTATTCACGACGAGCCAACAACAAAGGTAGGGGGAAATTTGATTTTCGTTGACTTGTTTGTATGCGGAAAAGTTTCCAACAACTCCTCTTGATGCGGCACTGCATGCTGTTTCAAAGAGATATATTCGTGGTGCCCTGCCCCAGCCAATAACCGATATTCCCGCAGCCGCTAAAATGGGCCAGCTCGTAAACCAAAACCAGGTGCGGATCCAGGATTTTTTTCCGGGGAGGTTGGGCTGGATATTTTTTTTTTATGTCTCTTTTCTGCAGACAAGTGGAAACGGTGATGAAACGTTACATGACATATATTGTTTACAGTGATATTGGTGTACAAAGAAGAAGAATCCGTGGGATGCTATCTTGTTTTGAAATTTACTTTAGTTATTTTTATGACCCCCCTTTTAGTTCCTGTTTGTCTCAGAGTGGGGGGATTCGACTCCCCCCCGATCTGTGGCTGGAAACCCTCATGATATTAGTTTTAATCTGTAGTCAGTGAGCGTTTTTAAAAAAAGTAATTTATCATTAAAAACAATTCAAGAAAGTAGTTCGATAAAGAAGGGTAAACAAATACCGGAAGTGGAAGCGTTACGTTGACGGAGAAGTGGTATGGATTTACATTAGTTTTGAGTAAAATACTGCCAAGTAGTGGAGAATTTTCCAGGCATTTTTAGTATAAATTCTGTTAACTTTGTTTGTGGCTTTATCTCTGTGAAATTTAGCTAAAGTGGTGACTATATCCTTAACATTTATCAACTTTATAAATAGGTAAAATGCAAAAGCAATCGCAGAAGATCAGCTGCAACAGCTCTTGAGAAATTGCATACTTCACGCACTAATGACACATTATCCTATGTTTTCCCCGTTTCATCATTCCCAGATTTAAAAGTAATCAGCTGACGAATGCCAGGTCGGCACCGAAAGATGGCAGGCACTGAAGGATATACTCTTGTAGACGATCAAGACCACACCATGAATAATACGTACAGCGGGTCGGTAAATTTCCAGAACAACCCCGAAATGGATGAATCCATGCCTTCTGTCAACGTCACAGATGAAAATCTGCACTTGTACGTGTACTCCACCGTGGATACATTGTTGGTGACGGTAGTTATGCCCCTGATATTTTCCATCGGTGTATTAGGGAATCTGGCCGTCATTGCTGTGTTTGTACGTGTGAGATCCATGCGAACGGTCACCAACCATTACTTGGTCAGCCTTGCCGTGGCGGACTTGACCTTCATACTTCTTTCGGTGCCGCAATTCTGGGTCATGTATGTTACCTCACCGCTCTTCGGAGATTACCGGGTCCTGCAGGCGGGCTACTGTAAACTGACTATTTACCTTACCGAATCCAGCATCATAGCCTCATGCTTCACTGTCATCTTGGTAACATTTGAAAGGTACGTGGCGATATGCTGGCCCCACAAATTCAAAGAGCTGAGCACGAAGCCACGGGCTGTTCTCCTGTGTGCTCTGGTGTGGGTATTTGCGCTTGGATACAAGATACCGACACTGTGTTTCTCCACTGTCGTTGAAAGCCGGATCGTGTGGATGGTATCGAAGAAGGCGGACTCTTATCCAGATAGCATCTTCTACTGTCATTTCTGCTATCCCAAGAATTCCAGCCCCTGCGTCGCTTACAAGAAATCACTGACACTGGACCAGATCATGTTACTGATGGTGATACCAATCACAATGGTCATGTATTCGTTAATTGTGCTGCAGCTTCAGAAACTTGCCAAATCCACAATGATCAGAGGTACAGGAAGCAGCTCTTCCACTCGGATGAAGAAACAAGTGGTGCGCATGCTGATTGTAACCATTACACTCTTCGTCATATGTATGACACCCTTTCGCATCCTGAACCTCTTCGACATCTACAATTTTACTCTACCGCCAAACTCGCAGTGGGTGCTGGTCAATGTGGGACGCATAATGTTGTACACAAACTGTTCGGTCAATCCCATTATTTACAACATAATGAGTGACAGGTATCGCCAGGCTTTCCACGATACGTTCCTCTGTTGTCTGCCCAAACGCGGTGAGACGAACCACGAGCAGTCGAGCTGCAACCGTAAAACAACCAAGTACACAGCGAGCATGTGGGCCGAAACGAAGTAAATGTTGCAGACTGCTATCTCGTCGACCCTTACCATGGTCAATGGTTACAGTCACGACTTGTGAAAAGTTATGGAAATCCTTCATCTATATGGTGACAAACCTTTCACTGCAACAGCAATGTTACGCAGGTGGTCCAAGTACACAAGTACCGAACAAGAAGTCAGCGAGCCTACCCAGGAAAAAGTCAACCCAACCCAACTTCCAAATATGAGTTGGAAAAAATGTCGGAGACTCTGCCGTGCGCGGTTAATGGTGAGGTATGAAGCGAATATCTGGATGTAAATAGTTGTGGCTATCCTTCGTGCATAGCCTTTGTGGTAAAGAGGCCCATAAAAAACTAAGCTAAATAGTATTAAAACTTGGTGGTCGCCTCTAAAAAAAATCGTGCTTTTTTATTTGCAGTAGGCGAATTATCTAATAATGGGAAGACACGCTTGCACAAAGATTCGTTTGGGAAGATATTTTCGTATCGGTTCATATTCGGCGCGAATGCGAACGTGAACGTGAGCAAGACCCTGTGATGTTGCGACGAATGATATTCTCGCTGTGAAATTTAACAGGTTGAAAACATTTCAATTCTTGACGCCAAAATTTGCTTCACGTTCGCATTCGTAGATCAGTAATTAGTATTGGGTATTCAAACTATAAAGAATTCTGTGTGATGGTCGCATCTTCTTTCAAAAGCCCAGGAAGCGTTCATTATTTGAAAGAATAACGGCAACAGAGGAAATTCTTATGTACATTAATAGCTGCAAAAGCGATGGTGTCGTTGGGAGAAGGTGAAGTTTGTTTTCAGTGTTAAAGTGGTATTTTAATGTATCTGTTTCGAGAAGTTTCGGTTCTGTCAATGAACAGAAATTCAGTGAAGTTGAGAGCCTTTATTTCAAACATTAACTTTATTTCAGTGCCCGAACTTTGGCTGATAAAATTATGTAAAAGACAATGAATTATACAATGTAAATATTTAATTCTCAAAATGTTGAATTTATGACCTTTCAAATACTGTTTTGTGAATAGAGTAAGCACAATTATCGGGTGATATATTCGTGACGCAGACAGGCCAAACAGGTTTTCTCATACGGAGACGAAAGTTCGTAAGTCAAACCCTTGACTCATTTGGTTTGTTGATATGACAACAATCGTGCAATCATTTAGAAAACTGCACCAGTTTGTGACGGAGAATTTTTCTGCATCAAAAACTCATCAATAAAGAAAAGCTGTATGTGATAAATGATGTAAACGCACATAATGTACAGTGTAAACTATGTGCAGTAGATCGGCTGCAAGCACGTTCAAAATTGCCGTCAGAGGTCTGTGTTTGTATAATTGATAAGAGTAACATAATATGATGTTCTTGCTATTTGCTGCGTTACACTATCTTCGAAAAAAGTACGTCCGTGGTACCCTTTGTTTAGATTTTAAGTGATGTTGGTATTGTCTGCATCTTTTCTTTTTTTAGAATGAAAAGAGTTGAGTTTTAAACTGTTTGTGGGTTGGAGTTTAAGGAGAAAAGATTAGTTTTGCTGTTCCTTGTCGACCGTCACCTCTTCTTTCGATTATTGTGTTCATTTTCCAGCTCTGTTTTAGTTGTGCTTTTTCAAATTATATATTTGTGACCCACCATCCTATACTAGGCCCAAATTTGAAATGTAGCTTTTTAAATTAAGATTCTGCACTACGGGATATGCTATGATTTAGATGTCAAGCCAACCCCAAGTGTTTAATGCATAAGGTAACAGCTGAGACAGTCGGTTATATAAAATTCATAATGCGTGTGTGCTTATAAAACTGACAAGCTTATCTGGCGATAGTGGGTCATATATATTGTATTTCATCTGTCGAGATTGGGAACTTTGAAGACATATTTTGACGTTTTAGTATTTGTGGATGGTATAAAAATGTAAGATTTTAAAAAGATAACGTACTTAATGCATTTCGCAAAGAAAACGTGTTGGGTAGCGATTGGAATGTGGTGGGCCACGTCACCATAAAACTGACAATTACACAAAAGGATTGTACGATGGAACTCGTCATTCCAAGATATGTCCACACCTGCTTCAACATTTACTTGGCAAGAATTGGGACATATATGGAGCCACACTTGCAGTGATTTAAAAAATTTTAAAGTGTATAACTATCCCACAGGATAAACGTATTATCTCTACTCGTGAGCTGGTTCTGAAAAGAAAACTTGTGAGAAGTTGGAGAAAAGTGAATTGCAAAGAAGAGGAAAATTCCATCTGGAAGCACTACACCCTTAGAAACTATATTTGCTAACCCCAGTCGGGTGTACACCTCATGTATTTTGCTGTGAAGATTCAGAAAACCTGCGAGATAAGAATTCCTATGTTTTGAGCACTTGTTAGAGCTGCTACCCATTCAGTCTTCTTGTTGGTTTTATGCATCGATTTTTGCAAGCATTTTGTTGATTGGAATTATTTTTGGTTTCGATTTCATTTAAGAAAGAGACGCTGAATGCTATAAAAACATACGGAACGTGGACAGTTTCTGTTACCCATCAAGCCAGACTTCGACGAAACGAAACAAACTACATGAAAAATATCAATTATAATGACGTAAATGGACCCGACTGTAACATACGCTTGCAATATGGAGTGAGCAGTATTTTCTTTTATTTGATAGATAATTAATTAGCTTGGATAGTGACTGTGATATGACACAAACATCAGACAACATATGGACAAAGACTTGGGAACATTACGAACAGAAACAGTAATAAGCTTAACTGGCCCCTCTTAATGGCACAGTAAGTTGTCGGTTCCAAACCCGACACGGCCCAATTATGGACCAAATTGTGGGGGCAAATCACCGGTCTGACAGATGGTACGACCTAATTGATAAGTGGCATGATTTACTGCGTAATCCTCCCGAAGCATACGTTAGAATGTGTGACCACTATAAGGTGTCATAAAGGAACTGAGTTTTGAAGTTTGCGTTTATCAACATGAGAGGTATATAGGTCCCGCTGCAGTTTTCATTTCCACGCGTCGATGTTTACAGTATTTTATTCTAGTCATGTACAGTTTTATATTTTATTGGCATAGCAAAGTTAACATTTTTATATGCACAAAACAAAACAAAACAAACAACGAGTTTTTGAAATTTTGAAATAAAAAAAACATTGACTGAGACAGCAGACCACGGGACTTACGGAGACAGAATAAAATGACTAATTAAGATTTGGGTCAGTTAGCAGTAGCACGGTGTTGGGAAATATTTAACAAAAGAGGATGTTCCTGCATGGTGTTACCGCGAGCTTATCAAACCTTCCACACAAATGTCAACGAAGGCCTATTTAATGTCAGAAGTTTTTTTTTTCTGAGAGCTGCACCGAGCGCCTTTTTTGTCCGGCTGATGTAAATTTGATCAGAGACAAGTGACCACGAAGAGAAAACGGACAGACCTTAAACAGCCTGATGACTGACATGACAAACGATTCATGACGCCTCCTTGGCATTTTGACGTAAAAATGAAAGACTTAAAGATACACATTGTATCACTACCAGAAAAACATTACAGGGCACTAATGCATCCTTATCTGACTAACAGCAACCGTGCCCTGCTAGTGTCACACCATAGTCTGCCACCAATCCCTGCAGGTTAATCACAAGTTCATAAAGAGCCATTATCTCACAAGTCAAGTCGCAAGCTTTTCAAATGAAGTATGATAAAAGTGTTTTTGTTATTGGGTTTCCTCGTCCTCTGGTCACCTGTGACTGATCATACGGGACGACTTGACAACAGCTTTTGAGGGTCTAGTGAAAGACTCGACTACAGCACTCCGTGATATATGCCGAAGCGTGACGAAGCCATGACAACGACTGTCATGATAGACCAATCAGATTGTCACACGACCATTACCATTGCACTGCGATGACATTAGCCTCAGACGGACGATCACGACTCCTGACGGTACAAAAGAGACGCTTGAAAATCCAAGCTCAAAAGGCAGCCTAAGGGTGCATTTTCAGCAAGTTCTCAATTTTTATGTGCCTAATGTAAACCTTTTCCTAATGTAGGAAACTAATCAGTCGTGATAGATGAGACATGACCGTCGATCGGAATAACTGTTCAACAGTTTCTGTGGTGGAAGTCTTACGGAGCTTTTGCCTTGGGATCATAACCATCTGTCTGTACTGGTGCTCCGTTGTCCTTTGTCGCGCACAGCGTTTTATGTTTCGTTCGTAGAAGTTTTCTTACTAGGTCAACAATTTTCAACAAACGATTTTGTTATGTTTTGAAAGGTGGCAACCCCACAGGAAAAAGGCCTGGCAGGAAAAAAGCAAAAGGCGGTCTAAGTCGAAGTGATGAATATTTATTGGGGTCTAATGAGGGAAACAGAAAACCAAGGGGCGCACTGTGATGCTGGGGACATGAAGCGAAGAATATAGGATTCTAGCCCTTTGCCCAAACCAATAGCAGATATCGATCTCCTTCTCGGCAATGACTTTGTGACGAGAAACCTCGACGAATTCACCTACCATTGAGCCAAGGGGTGAGCAGTTAGGTTTCTGATTTCTCGAAAGGCAGGCAATGACATGACAGTTACTGGTGTGAATGAAACCAAGTCAGCTCTAAGTTCCAAAGGGAGATGCACCTACTGGGTTAGCCTATAAACTCTAGACAGTAACACCTCATGCTAACTACGGATACCGAACGATTTAAAGACACCGCTTTTACCTATCAATACTGACGCTTTTTTTTTTCAACCTTACTAATCCATGACTTTATAGCGTTATTTATGGCTTCTTCTGGCAATAATACGATGTGCTGAAAGCCATACTATTCTTTTTAAAAAGTCAAGATTATTCCAAGTTTTGAGAGGTCAATCAATTATTGGGAATTTTTGGAAATCAAGCAAACTCTTCTTAATTGGCGTCTATAACATTACCAAGTATTTTAATTTTCTAAAGAGAAAATAGTTAATAATAAACTATTTATACTGTGTGGTCATTGTGATGTACCTTCACTGTTATCTTGAAAATTAGATCACCAGAGATATATTGGAACTGTACACATGAGAAACAAGTTATTGTAAATAAGTCATACCATAACGGTTGTTATAAACATGTATAGCAGTGGTTAAAACTAGAACAAAAAACTCTAGCCTCGACGTTGAATTAAACAGGTACTTGTTGATAAGGTCACATATTAATTGCTTGGCTGTGTTTTTGGATGTTGCATCGAAAATCAATCTTAGGGAAATTATCTACGATTGCAAGGTTCTCCATTTTATCGTGTGTAAACCATTATGGGTGAAAACGGGCAGAAGTTACCATCAAATTTCAGCGAGACTTCGACAGATATCAGTAAACACACTGAATCTCAAGCATATATAACGAGTAAGAATTTATTATCTACGATTGGTTACGTATTCCCATAAGTCTCAAAATGACTTCAGATTGGTTTGGAAGCAGTGCTTTCCAAAAAATGACAGCGAGGAAAAGAATGAAACCTTCAACCCGTATTATGGATTTCAGGTCAAATCCTATGAAGGACCTTAGGATTTTAGCGAATATCCACAAACATACGCTCTTCTCACGTGAAACGTTTGTACGCATTCTGTTGAAATTAGCCGCACGCATTCGTGTATGAGTTCTGTGGCCAAACCATTTGCAGCAACCCAACAGCAATCCACCATTTCATATTTCACTCTCGCCTACGACTTTAAATAACTTCTATCGTGTCTGTGCATTCAAGGGTCTAGGGCGGCTACGTGCCAAGTCTCTAAGAACGGCTGTTTGCACCAAGACAAAAGCTCTTACCGCCCTCCACAGCAGTCTCAGAAGTACAAGTACTCGATGGCACATACACGTAAAATGGCGCCATCCATGTGTCGCCCAACACATCAATGACGTCAGCTGTGAAAACACAGGAAGAACGTCTAGTGCATGTGTGACTGGTTCTATGCCATCTCGCGATTGCTTTCACTTTGGGAGCAGCGAAGCGGCAGACAGTAATCGGAATCGCTGTCGGTAAATGGAGATTGAGTGAATCTGCCTCTTTGGCTGCAGCTTTCAAGCAATGGCACGCGGCAGTGCGTGAGAATTTTTAATACAAAGATTGACTATAAAGGTATATATGAGCCTGACAGTGAGGGGCAATACTGGGTGATTAAAACTCGACATGCACAAAATTTGACGCTTCCTTTTCTTTTAATGGCGGTAATTTATTTTTCTTTTTTTAGGATTTAGAAGTATGGCCGTTGCAGTTGATCGTGAAAAAGTGGACAAAATTGGCTCTCGTGCTGTTGTCAAGTATTCGCAGTTTACGGGGTGAACTCCCACCGTAATCGATACCGATGCAACTTCATCTGTACCGTTCAAGAAGTTGGGATACTGACGGGGAAGAGAGAGACAGAGCCATCGGGGAACACAACTGCGCCAATCCAGGTTGACGATCGATCGTGTCCAAAGCATGATGGCCGACGACAGACGACTGACTGTTAGATACATAGCTGAATTTGAGGGAGTCCCTCGAAAAGGAGTTGGGAAACTTCTGGCGAAGGGCAGGTTTCTGCTGCACGGATGGTTGCGACGCCTTTTGACTTCTAATCAGAGGGGCAGCAGACCTGATTGCACCGGCTGAGAAGTTGATATTGCTGCTGCCCAACTCCTGTCGATTCCGTAGCACGGTTTGTAAACCCAGAATATGCTGGGTCCATCACTTCTGGCGAGGGATTATATACAATATTCAGTGTAGTAGAAGCATCTGTATTCACTAACTCCTCTGCAAGAGGCAAAGGGAGGCTGCCACGTCTGACTGAAAGGTGACAGTCTGTTATCTGGAATTCTAGCGGGACACATAGGCTCCTTCCCAGAGGGCTAGATAATAAATATAGAGTACAATCAACTTGTTGAAGTAGCTGCAGGAATTTTGTGTAGGACAAATGTCAATGAAAACAAAAGAAGGGCTGCTATTCTATAAAGTGGCAATGTCCCTGCTCACACGTCGGCGGTTGCCATGTCTACAGGTCACAATGGCTTCAAACTCACTCGACAACATAGTCTAGTCATGCGCCACCATCCGACTTCTGTCTTTGTCCTAAACACAAAAAGGAATTTGAAGGGGAAAGCATATTGAGGACGTTGGTGACGTCATTTCCGCTACTGAGGTCTTCTTTGACCTCCGGTTACAAATCTGTATGAGCTGGTACTACATGATGAGGCCCCCCTGGTAAAAAAAAGTGCATTGACCTCCAAGGCTACTTTGTACTACTAGTACTATGTGAAAAGAAATAACTGTAACAACGAATCGAATCCTTGTGGCAAGGGCCCTAACCTGTCGCCTACCCCTCTTAAATGTCGCCAGAGCAACTTCTGGTCGATCTAATTACCATAGAAAGGCTTGTCACTAATACTCATGTTACCATTTGATTTGTGGTCTTTGAGCGAATGTGAAGGAGCGAATAACATGGTGAGACGACGGGTAACAAGTGTTGCCCGTTATTTTCAGAAAATGTTGGTATGGATTAAGTGCTGACAGGCGACTGTAAATTTTAAGCCAGAAGCTCTTGGAGAGGATGGTGAACGTTGGTGCTAATAAATAAATTTTATGCACCTGATTTATTTTGCTGTTTGGATAATAATTGAATGAGTGTTCTCCAATCAATCCAAATCCACTCTCACTGTAACAAGATATTGAATAGCAAAATCCAACCAGTTTATTTTCCACATAAAACATCGCTACTTGTCTCTAATAGTTGTTTGTATTTTAACCTATGACCACGCAATAATTCTTGCAAGATCGAGTCCGTCATTGCATTTGTGCTATGGTACAGTCTCGCGTGCTTCAAGTACCTGTGCAGCTACGTCAGTAGTGGCCACAGACATAAATGACCTATAGACCGACAACAGCGGGCGCCAGAGTGTAATTTTACGGACGACGCCATTTTCAAAAACCATGGGCATTGAACATGCGCAATACATACACAACCACCGTGGTTTGGCTTCATACGTATGATTGCAGACGTATGGTCGCAGACGTCATGATTTGTATACTGAACGAGACCGTCCGGTCAAATTGTTAAAAAAGAACCACCATAGATAGAGTTAGTTTTTCGGTGTTATTAATATTATGTAATTCAACGGGTAAAACCAAAGTAAAAGTACGATAGACTAAATTTGTGAGCTGTCGATTAATTTTGAGTAATTTTATTCGGCATTTTTGAAAATTGTCTCAGGGCAATCAGCAAGCATGTGGCGTGAGCGTAGGCCATTCATGCTAATGTTAATTCTAGTCTCCAGTTTTTTCGATAAGCTGAGTCCTTATTTATAGCAACATTTGTCCTCTATTTCAGCGTAAAGCAATGGAAGCATTGGTCCAAAAAGACATATTGACCCTAAACACTCTCCTTTGTCATGTTTGTACATGTACATCTCACCATGCTCATGGTCC